CATGCAGATATGAGTTTCCTGATGTGGGTGTGAGGAATGGAACTTGGATTCTTGTCAAGAGTAGCTCATAAGGCTGAGCCATCTCTCTAGCCCCAAATTTAGTGCCTTCCTAGGAACTCAAAGTCTCCCTTTAGTAGCTGATCCTGTGGTGATAAAGTGATCCAGCCATAGCACAACCTCAGTCCTTAAGCTACATGTTCTGTCTCCCGTCTACATGACTGTTTCCATTGTCCTTAGCACTGATGAAACGGAATCTTTTGACTTTTTTCTTTCTGGACCCACTATATAGCCCAGCTAGCCTCTAACTTTTAATCCTCCTGCCGTGGCCTCTGGATTTGGGTTACTTCTGTGCACACCATGATCAGCTTCTCTTGATGTTTTGGACATTTCAAACACACATAAAGAAGAAAAGATTACATACAGATAGATTTCTTAGCCACGTCTCTAAATATGAGATACACTTGTGACACAACCAATAGTATCATAGCCAAGTGTGCAATCTGATTAAAGCCTTTCTCATCTCAGTACTTGTAGTGCTAACATTTGAGTGCTCATTATGACAGCATACACTGTACTGAGTACTTTGTGCTACTGTCTCTCCTGATCCCCATGATAACCCCATGGGATACTTCACTCACTTTGGCCACTCTAGCAGTTCTCGGTCCTCATAGTAACAGGAGACACATAGTATAGTTATTTGGAAGTTGAATAATTTGTCCAAAGTCACACAGCTGGAAAAAAGTCAGGATTTGACTATGGGTTCAAATCCTTCACTATGCTGTTTGCCTGTCTCATAGCTAAGTTTCAGCACCAAATACAGTATAAAATACTAAATATTTTCCTTGAAATATAATCCAGAATATCACCATAGGCTGAGGTCTCTTTAGAAAATGTTCTACTAAGCAATATTTGTATAAAGTTTAACAGGAATGCCTCTTCATGCAATTGTTGTTTCCTATAACTCCCCCCCCCTTTTTTGGCTGTTTTAATAGCATCTGTATACCTTTGAGAAGGACATGCAAGCTGTCAGTTGCTCTGTCAACACCAAGAGAACAGAACTTGGTGAGCTGAGGTCTCATCGCTGTATGTTAACGAGTACACCTTTTAAGTTTAAGCATTTTGGATTTTGCAATATTTGATTCTAACAACACTTTCCCATAAAATTCATGTTGAAATTGAGAATCTGTAGGACACACCTATAGGAAAGAGTGCCTTGTATTCACTCACAGTGTTACACTGAAGATGCTTAAACTCTCATTTATTCCAGACATAAAATGAAAAGCTTGAGCAAGCTGCCATGTGAGTCAATTGCTACTTTAGTTGTTTTCTTTCCATGAGCTGCACGCTTCATTCAGTACACGGAAGGAGTACGGCGTGAGCTTCAGCCTTCAGGTAACGGAATTACCCTTCCTTTGTCCATACTGATAAAGAGCAGACTGAGCTGAGGCTCGAGCTTCTTTAGAAATGCCTTTCTTTTTGAATAAAAAGACAGTGGCTATTTAAACGTTTTAAATTTTGCTTCTCAAGTATGCAGCAAAGCATGGAAACTAACACAGTGGTAATTGTAGTAATAATGAGATGCTAATTAGCTCCTGAAGAGTAAGTGAATACTGAAAATACATTTGACTTCTGTGGCCCGAAGCTATGTCAAAGTAGAGGAACTACTTAAAAAATATCTGGTGAGATATTGATTAATCTCTAATGCCTTGTGGCTATTTCAAAAATACAAAATAAAGTACACATCTATCACTTACCAAACTTTATAGTTTATTAGCCACGTGGAATGAAACCTTTTACTTTTTAAATTTCAAAAGGTACTTAATGTTGCTCATCTGCTCCGTAATGCAACAGTGTTGGCTTCTGCTGTAGTCAGGCACTCTGCATGGTGGCAGGTCTGTAAGGGGATGAGGTGGCGCTTTCAACCTAGCACCAGGCTTCAACTACAAGTGTTCAGTGACCAGAGGCCATAGAAAGAGATAGATGCAGTGTAAGAAAAATGAAGTGTTGCTGGGCAGTGGTGGCGCTCGCCTTTAATCCCAGCACTTGAGAGGCAGAGGCAGGCAGATTTCTGAGTTCAAGGACAGCCTGGTCTACAAAGTGAGTTCCAGGACAGCCAGGGCTACACAGAGAAACCTTTTCTCAAAAAAAAAAACAAAAAAAAAATAAAGAAAGAAAAGAAAAATGAAGTGCCAGGCTTGGGGCATAGCTCAACCCATGAAGTGTTTGCTGTGCGAGCATGGGAATCTGAGTTTAATCTAAAAACCAGCATAAAACCAGCCAGGTATTACAGTACATACTTGTGATCGTAGTGCTATGGAGAAGGGTATAGGCCATACCTGGGCCTCACTGGCCAGCTCAGCCTACTTAGTCATCCCCAGGCTAAACACAGCTATAAGGAGTAGTGGTGGGTACGGGGTCTTGATCTATAGGAGACATAAAAGGATGAGTCATTACTTAGCTTTAGATTTTTGTTGCTGTAAAGGGCAGTTGATTCCACTGGATCCAGCTTTGCAATTTGTTGAGGCCCCTGGATGTCTGTGTAAAAATCTAACTTATCAACGTCAGCTCAGCTAGTCTTTTAAACTCCGATTCAGCAATGATAACCATCTATGTGGGCTGGGGCAAGTCTGGTCCAGAGGGTCTGATTCCGGCCCTTTACTGCTGTGCTCCCAGGTCCTTTCCCTTGGCTCTGTTTATTTGGCACTTAGAGTCCTTCTTTTGTTAGCATAGTTCCTACTTGGATGTATTCTGTGGTTGCATGTGATGGGAAAACCCTTTGTACATACTTTCCACCTGAGTGTCACAAAGCTGTCTTGGACATCTGAGGACACACATCTCCCCACATCTTACAGAGGCAAGAGACTTGGAGCCAGCCTGGGAAGAGCTCTTATGATATACTGGTGGGCTAGATGTCTTCTCTGAAGTCTCCTTGCTTATTCACGATTACAGTCACCTTGCCATGATATACTGAGAACTACGGTCACCCCATCCCTGTCCCTGCTGGCCTCCTCCTATTTCCTTAGCTTCTCTAATATTCTTAGCATTTGATACAATGGTCACCTCCCGGGATGGAATGCACTGGATTATGTGGATGTGATCTAGAATACTAGGATGCTGACCCCCAAACAAGGGTCTGAACAAAAGCAGACACAGGGCTGACCTGATGTACTCATTTGTCCTGGGAAGACAAGGTTACCACTACAGCTGTGCAGCTGGTAAGGCCACGCCCCACACCTTGGATTTGGGCTGAGTGTCCTCTGCTTCTTCTTGTTCCTTGTTACCTCCAGGAGAATTCTTCTATGCTGGCTAAAGTCAGAGCATCTGTAATATTTACTTGATGTTTATCATTTCTGCCTCACTGTCAATAGTCAATAGTGTATGTGTTATAAAGTGCAGCTCCAGATCAATTTCCAAGTGTTACTTTAGATTAAATTAAATCCTACTCAGATATGCTTGCTCAGTCTTGGATTTGGGTGAGATTACATGCTTGTACCTTTAAAAACTGGATATTATTAGTTTATCATGCTACTTACCAAGTAGCTTGTATCCCTCCTCACCTTTTATCTCTACCACCGAAGTAACAACCAGGCATAACTCCAGAATGTTCCCTCAGCTTCTCTACCAACTTCCTGCTTTTGCCTTAGGATCATTGGGAGGATCTGTTTTCTCCATTACAGCCTGGGAGTATGGACGGAAATCATGCTCACTAGGGCAGACCACAGTTAGTGGGAATCAGGGAGCTGAAGGAAAATTGTTCTCTACTTCCAGTCTGAAAAGGGGTGATTCTGAGGGAATGGGGCTCCCACACTCACATGCACACACACACACACACACACACACACACACACACACACACACACGAGCCTAAGATACAAGCAGGCCACTAATGTGCTAGCTCCCTGTCTTGTGTGCTTCTGGCCTTTGGCCCTCTCCCTACTCCCTCAGGCAAACTTCTCCCAGCTGGACTGGACCTGCCCCCTGAGGTGAACTTCTGGCCTTAGTTTGAGTTTCATTGGAAGTAGCATCTGTTTAAAAGAATTGAGTGTTATTAGTGTATTTGGGTCATGGAAACACTGCTGGGGCGTGGTTTAAGCCTGAAAGAAGGAAAGGGGAGGTCACATTTCTGTCAGAACAACTGCCAGCTCAAGGGCTAGACTCCATAGATTCACTCTGTTAAAGTGATGAGGACGCTGAGTTGAGATGGAGAGGAGGAATTAGAAGTCAGAGGAGAAGGAAGATGGGGTAGAGGAAGATCACCTGACCTCTACTCTACCGAAAAGGGAATCTCACAGGTTAAGTTTGCATCTGAACATACTTAGAAAACCGATTTGTCAAGAGTAGCTTCTGAATTTGATAAGCATATGAGAAAAAAAAAGTCAAAAGTGACTCAGCCTGTGTGTGTGTGTATCTGTGTGTGTGTACACATGTTGTGTTTGTGACTGAGTGGTTGGGTTTATGAGTGTGTCTGTGTGCCTGTGTGAATTTTTGTGTGCAAGTGTGTGTCTGTGTGTTTTTATGTGTGAGTACTGTGTGTGTTTGTGTGTGAGTATATGTGTGAGGATAAGTATATGTGTGTATGTGTATGGATATATATATATATATATATGTATATATATATATATATGTGTGTGTGTGTGTGTGTGTTTGTATGTGAGTGTTTGCATGTGTGTGTATTTGTGCCTGTGTGTGTGTGAGCTTGTGTGTATGTATGAGTGTTTGCATTTGTGTGCGAGTATGTGTGTGTGTGTTTGTATGTGCGTATGTGTGTGAGTATGTGTGTGTGAGTGTGTGTGAGTATGTGTGAGTGTATATGTGTGAGTGTGTGAGTGAGTGAGTGTTCTTGTTAACGGGAGTTAGAAGGTTCGGTTTTGTGCATGCCAAGTTTGAGATGGGAATTAGACATCCAGAGATGTAAGGCAGGGATTTGAATATGAGTTAGAGCTCAGGGGAGAGGAGGCTGGGATTGGAGAGCTGCCTTTGGGAATCACCAGTGAGCAGCATGGGAAGGCTTCGTCCTGTTAAGGTTTCAGAAGTGTGACTGGCCTTGGTGGTGTACCCCTTGTTATCCCAGAATTTAAGGGGTAGATGGAGGAGGGTCGGGAGTTGATAGTCACCCTTGACTGCGTAAAACTACATGAAACCCTCTCTTAAAACACTATTTACCTGAAAAAAAAAGATTTCAGAAATGATACAACCAGAAAAGACTATAAAATATGTCATGATGTTTTGTCCTTTGAACAGATACACTGGAAAGATTTCTTTTGTCTGCCAACAAATGGCTACCATATAAGTCATTTTATTAAAAATAGTAGTCTCCTGCAAAGTGTTACTTAACATTCTATTGTTTAAAATGAGATTTCTTTCTCCATTGCAAAAGAGACAATCTATAGTATATTTCAAGTAAAAGATTTTTTTTTTTTTGGTTTTGTCGAGACAGGGTTTCTCTGTGTACTCACTCTGTAGACCAGGCTGCCCTTGAACTCAGAAATCTGCCTGCCTCTGCTTCCCAAATGCTGGGATTAAAGGCGTGTGCCACCACTGCCCAGCCAAGTAAAAGATTCTTTGATCCATATACTTTACAGTCAGCTTTTACCAGCAACTTCTCTCCTTGGTCATAGTAAGGTTGATGTTTGTTTAGAAAATGACCTGCTTTTTTAAGAATTTTGTTTAGAAAATTTGGTGTCTTCTCTTGTAGGACTGCATTTGACACCTCATACAGTAGATGTTCTTGGGCAGTAACTGGTGTGGCCTCTTGTATTGGAACCCCACTGTCATAGAGATTCTCAGAGCCTTTATACGATTACTGACAAATAAACAGTTATTCCATGGAACTATGGTTTGGCTCAAGATCTCCACTGTGAAGGACATGGCATATTATTAAGAGACATTCCTGGGGCTGGAGAGATGGCTCAGCGGTTAAGAGCACTGACTGCTCTTCCAGAGGTCCTGAGTTCAAATCCCAGCAACCACATGGTGGCTCACAACCACCCATAATGAGATTGGATGCCCTCTTCTGGTGTGTCTGAAGACAGCTACAGTGTACTCATATACTTAAAAAAAATAAATAAATAAATCTTTAAAAAAAAAAAAAAAAACAGACATTCCTGTTGGGAGAGGTTGACTCCCAGCGTCATGGTAGTTGTACTGCTTAAATGCCTGGCCTGGAGATTAGTGGAGGAAGGTGGTTTCTGCTATTGAGAGTAAAAGAATTTAGATGATAGTTGGAAACAGTTGGATTCATGCTGTAAAAGCCAGATACAGGGTGATTCCTTATTTTTCTTTCGATAATTTCCCTGGCTTCCCACAAACTGTGGGGTTTTCATGCAGTTAGAATGTCTGAATTTTTTTAAGAAGTAGTTGGCTGTTGGTTTGTACTGTCTAGTAATTTAGTTTTATATATTTAAAATAGATATTAGGAAATTGCTTTCCCTTCTTGTTCTCAATTTTCATAATATTTTTATTCTACTTTTCTTTCTGACTATCTTCGGCACCAATGTCCCTCTTCTTCCTGGAGCCATGTTTTAGTCACCAAGCAGATTCTTACAGTTCCTCACTGTCAGTGTGACATAGTCTAGAGTCAACTGAGAAAGGATCTCAGTTAAGGGATTGGCCAAGTCAGATTGGGTTGTGGATGTGTCTGTGGGGGAATCCTTTTGACTGTTAATCGGTGCTGGAATGCCCATCCCACCATGGGTGACACCACTCCCTAGGCATGTGGTTCTGGACTATATGAGAATCTAGCTAAGAATGAGCCTATGAGGAGTCAGCAAGCAGCCTTCTTCAGTGGTTTCTGTTTCAAGGTCTTGCTTTAGTTCCTGTCCTGACTTCCGTCAATGATAGACTATGACTTGGGTGTGAAGGCCAAACAAATAGAGAGTCACCTTTCCTTCCTTAAGTCACATTTAGTCATGATGTTTGTCACAGCAACAGAATGAAACTAGATCACTCACCATTGTTTCTGTCCAGTCAACAGGAAGGCAGCTTGAGAACTGGTGTGCTGTCCTGTCCCTTGCCTTTTTTTTCCTTTCTTTTTCTTCTTCTTTTTTTTTTCTGTCATAAACTGTGATACTCATCAAACATTTGACTTTTCATCCTTTAGTTTACACGTGTGATTCAACATAATAGCTGACTTGCCTTTTCAAGTGATTTGTGTGTTCAGAAGGAGTGTGTACATGTAAGACTATGTGTACACAAGTTCGGAGTGTGAACTCGTGTGGAGGACAGTTTAACATCTGCTTTCCTCTGTAGGTCTCTGTTTGCTTCTCTGTGAGACAGGTGCTCTCACTGAACCCAGAGCTCATAGAATTGGCCAGACTGGCCGGCCCATGAGCTATATGGATCTGCTTGTCTCCAGTCTGGAGTTACAAGTAAACACTGCCGTGCCTGACTATTTTATGTGATGTTGGGAATCTGAACTCAGTTCTTTATGCTTGCATAGCAAACACTTTCCCACTGACTCATCTCCCCAAATCCCTCAAGGCTTTTTTTCTCAGTTCCTACTAATAATTTTATCAATCTGCCATTGATAGAAATGAGTACACAACAGGTCTCTAACCACCACCACCACCAACAACAACAAACAGGCTGAGATCTGGGCGAAGTGATGCTTGAAACTACCACAAAGGAGGAAAAAAAAAAACCAAACACTTCCTTCTTCTGCCATCCCTGGTGCTGCCTATGTGCTCCTTCCGTGTGGACCTGGGGCCTTTTTTGTGAAGAGGAAGTTGAGACTTCCAGCTCAAAGAAGGACTCAGAAAGGACACAAGGCTGAGAACAAGGATCATAATCATTTGAAGGTGGTGGGGCAGGGTGGTTCTGTTGTGCAATTTAAGATTAAGAGGCAGACAATAGTTAGTAAACTCATGAAAATCTATTGTGAATCACAGGGTTTGTCAATGAGGCAGATCAGATACAGGTTTGATGGACAATCAGTCAATGAAACAGACACACCTGCACAGTCAGACATGGAGGATGAAGACACGATAGGTGTGATCCAGCAGCAGACAAGGTGTGATCCAGCAGCAGACAAGGTGTGATCCAGCAGCAGACGGGAGGTGTCTACTGAAAAGGGAACCTGCTGCTTTCCTCCAGAATGTTGTTATAGACCAAGAGTATATTCTCAGTTAGAAAACTGCCATTTGTCCTGCCACATCCAGACTACTACAGTACAGTTTCCTCTCCTCTTTTCACTCTCTGTCCCCATTGCTTTATGGTTCATAAAGTAGCAGGTGTGTGTGCGCCAGAGTATGTGCACAAACATGTTGCTCTTCTTTTTTCTTTGTTTTTAAGTAAGCATCCAGTGTTCTGTTTCGGTTGACATCAGACAGAAATGGTCTTGGGGACAAGCTGGTTCTGTGAAAGTACCCTCTTTCCCCATTAGTAGCACACTCATTCAGCTATTCTCTTATATTCCGCTAAGTTATTTTGCTCTCATTGCTTTAACAAAAGAGCATAACCCGACAGCATGAAATCCTTGCATACCTGGTTCAAGTAGAGAACCTTAATGTTTCTCATTTATCATTGTAAAACCAAGGACAATTTTATAACTTTTTTTGTATGTAGATGTTACATGTAGGACAATCTGTCTTTAAGAAGGGATGAATTCCTCTTGAATAAAATGTTCCTAGTTTTCCCTTCAAGTAAAGTGTCTTGTTGCTTAAATAAACTTTTTGTTTAAAATGAAAAAAATACTAAACAAAAAAATTAGAGATACTAATGTTAAAAAAAAAAAGACATACAGACTGCCTCTCCCCACTCTAAATTCTCACAACACTGGATGAGTAGCCCAGCACCCTAGATGCTGAGGCAGGAGACTCACTCCATATTCCCGGGCAGAACCAAAACATACCTTCTCAAATAAAACAAAATTCCTTTATTTAACCTTGGCATTTCTGAGGTACAGGCAGAGGAATTAAATAATTTGAGCCCATCATGGCTATGGTGATCAAATCCTGGTGTGACACGCTTGGCTCAGGGAGTGGCACTATTAGGAGGTGTGGCCTTGTTGGAATAGATGTGCCACTGTGGGTGTGGGCTTAAGACCCTCACCCTAGCTGCCTGGAAGCTAGTCTTCCACTAGCAGCCTTCAGATGAAGATGTAGAACTCTCAGCTCCTCCTGCACCATGCCTGCCTAAATGCTGCTGTGTTCCTCCCTTGATGATAATGGACTAAACCTCTGAACCTGTAAGCCAGCCCCAATTTAATGTGGTTTTTATAAGAGTTTCCTTGGTCATGGTGTCTGTTCACAGCAGTAAAACCGTAACTAAGACACCTGGGATGCTGAAGACCTCTCAGAACAGAGAAGAAGGAAAAGCACAATCCTCCACGTACAGATGAAGGAGTCAGATGTGGCCTGCAGGGTCTGCAGGGTGTTCTCCTTGTAGATTGTCTGCCTCCTCATCTCCAGTTTATAACCAGACATCCAAGCAGACAGAGTCTCCGTAAGTCTTCCAGAGCTTGGGAGATGAGAGATCCGAGCTTACACCACAGGAAGGGCTGTGGCTACAGATCTCACACCCAGCCTGGCCCTCCGGGGCTGCAGCAGACGCAGCTGTGCTCTCTGGCCTGCAAGGACCAGGCTATTGGGGGAGTTCCTGGCTCTCCAGCCTTGCCTCTGGCAGTCTGGGTGGAGGTGAGGAGGGAGGTGGGATGCCAGCTGAGCCCTTAAGTAGCCTGTAGCCTTCAGGCCTGAGTTTCTGCCCTTGGTCACAGGCGTGAGCTGGCAGCTCAGCTTGTTTCTCCTTCAGGCTGAGTTTGAGGACCAGGACCACGACAGACTCCCAACCTCCTGGGGGAAAGCTCCAGGACAGCTTGCAGCTGGATTAATCATGGGAGACCATGATTCCAGAGTGCAGGGAATCCAGACAATCTCCCGTCTGCTCAGGTCAGGAGTTTCCCCACAGGTGATCCTTAAAGACATTTGTACAGAACTAACCCAGGACTCATAATTTGTTAGACCATATTCCGGAAACTGGCTTATGCTTGGTACCGTGTTCCTGAACCTGAGTGTCATGTTACTTTTTCAAGGACTGAAAACTGGTATTGATTCCAGACTGCTGTATGATCCTCAAATTGTACATTAATACCCAAAATACATTACTTGAGAGAGAACCACACTACAGCAGAGTTGTAAGAGCTAGAGTGTGCTTTTGGGAGAGGGGGAACTCTGACTTAAATTTGGACATCTGTGGTAAATCCCTTCCAGCCCCTGGCCATGGCTTTACTCTTAATTGTTTTTATGACATTTGCTTAGGGATGACCCGGAGGACCTAAGACAGCTGCTGAGAGTGCTCACACACACACTCACACACACACACACACACACACACACGATTGCCACTACACTGCAGAGTTGGAGACACAATGAGCAGAGCCATCTAGTCTGTGAAGCCATGCTAAACATGTTTACACTCCACGTACATGGAGTTCTGAGTCATTGTGGTTTCTGTATCTGGTTTGATTTCCCCCCACTTTTTGGTAATGAAAACTAAGGCCTCCCACTTGCCCTACCACTGACTTATATACCTATGGCCCCAATCTTGAGTTTGAAAAATGTCAAAGTAAACCTCAGAAAAATTAAGAAACAGCTGCCATGATAGGAAACACAAGCTTTCCAAATCCAGCTGCACCTGTTTATGAACAGTGCTGTCTAGGGGAAAGGGCACCCATCGGAGGTCAGCTTGTCAGGCACCACTCTGTTACAGGCAGGGGTGCACAGCAACAGCACGCTCTTTCCAAAACCACTGTTTTTAGGAATGGCGCTTCCTTTCCCAGTGCCTGCTCCCATTCCTGGGGAACTAAAAGGCGTCCCTTTGAACTTAGGTATTCTTTGGTTCAAATGCAGCTTCTCTCAGGTGTGTACAAATGTGGAAGGGCAGGTCTTTGCTAGGCTGATCACTCCTGTAGAGTCCCTGGGCCTGCCTCATATCCCTGAAGAAAGGGACTGGGAGTTAGAATTGCAGTGTAATATCACCTCAAGAGACATGACAATGGGCTGGAGAGATGGCTCAGTGGTTAAAAGCACTGACTGTTCTTAGAGGTCCTGAGTTCAAGTCTCAGGAAGCACATGGTGGCTCACAACCATCTATAATGGGATCAGATGACCTCTTCTGGTGTGTCTGACAGCTACAGTGTGCTCATACAAATAAAATAAATAAATCTTTTTAAAAAAGAGAGACATGATGATGACATCATGATGATGATGATGGTGATGGTGATGGTGATGGTGATGATGGTAGGATTGTTCTGTTAACTGTTATGCACTATTGGCATAAATTGATATCTCAGGCATTCTTCTTCATGGTTGCTTGAGAAAAGAAAAATGTGTGCTGTCCCAGTCTTTATGACTGAAATCCTCCTTTTCTCTGTAGGATCGAAGTGCCTGACTTTGCTGGTTGAAATCCACCCTGTCAACAACGTGCAGGTTCTGAAAGGTACAGGTAAGTAAGCCCACTGTCTGGCTTGTCTCATTAATCCCAAAGCGTGACAGCAAGGCAGAAAGGTGCTTGTTTACACAGCACTTTGCCATTCATTGTCACCTTTAATCTGCTAAGCAGTCTTCCAGATGTGAAGGCTGGAAGCACCAGGCTTCCCCTGTTAACGTGGAGATAAGAATTCTGGCCTGGCTGCCCTGACCCTGCTATACTGGATAGCAAGGCAATGTTTTCACGTGGTAACATACCAGGTATTAAAATCACTTGGTAGTAAGCTTTAAAATAGTCTATTTTGCATATTCACTTGGTTGGCAGACTAATTATCTCTGATTAACGGCAGTAAATTCCTGACCTCAGCAACACTGCATTACTGCAGAAGCATGCAGAGGGTCATGTGGTGGACGAGTCCATTTTTATTTGAAGATCCCACACTTGTGCATTCTTGTGCTTGTCAAGATTTATTTGCAGTTTGAAATCTACACTTGTGGCACTTTGCTAGGCGTTTGCTGAGCAGGTGAGTCGTCTGTTTGCACATCCCCAAGGAAGGAAGGTTGAACCGGCGATGTTCTGCCTCATGCTCCCACCGTAGACAGCGGAGTTCACTGCCTAGTGCCGTGGACTTTTCATTGTCCTGCTTTTCCTTGTGATGTTTTCGATGACTTCCTGGAGGCATGCTGAACTGTCGTCTACTGTTCCTAAGAGCACAAAGACTGCGATATATTTTACAGAGGAAGTGTGTGTGAGGGAGAGAGACTCAGATAAGCTGTGTTCAGGCGTGGGTTATAGTGGTGTGGGCCATAAGCTCAGTGTTAATAAATCAGTAAGATGTGTGACACGAGGCCTTCAACAGGAATGCACACAAGAGAAGGTCATGTATTCCTCTGTTGGCAAGAGTGTGAATGGAGCTCAGTGGCCTGTGATCAAGTTTAGTGTTCAACATGCAGGGCCTTTGATGGTCACCACAGATAATCAGGGTTGATGTACACAGACGTGCAAGAGCATAGTTTCCCTGAGCCTCGTTTCACGTTCCTATCTTTTGGTCCACATGGAGTCAAAGTCAACTAGTCTTGCCTGTAGTACCTGCTTTAGCCTCAGCTCACAGCCAGTGGGGCTGCCTCTTTTCTGTGTTAAGAGAGGGCTTGGTCTCCTCTCCTCTCCTCTCCTCTCCTCCCCTCCCCTCTCCTGTACTCTCCTCTACTCTCCTTTTCTCTCCTCTCTTCTTCTTTTCTCTCCTCTCATCTCTCCTCTTCTTCCCCACTCCTTCCCTCCCCCACCTCTCTCCCGCCTCTCCCCCTGCCTTTCCCCCACCTCCTCTCCCCTTGCCTCTCCCCCCCCCTCCTTCCCCCATCCACTTGTTCTTCACTACCACTCCAGCTTGCAGGTAGGCCCCAGCCTGGAGCTCACAAGCGGTCTCCCTTCCTTTGAGAAGCCATCTTTGTCTGTGATGTTGTCAGTACTGGGATGACTATGAAACAGAGCACACTTCCCTTTTCTAGCTTGGTTTTGGGTTGCCTCAGCATCCCCACGCAGGCAGAGTAAATGATCCTGACATTATTAAAGGACTGGGGCAGGTAAAGGGAATTGGGCCCAGGGAAGGAGTGCTTTGTTTGTTTGCTCTTCTTTTGAGACAACATTCATTATGTAGCCTGGCTGGCCTGGAGCTGGCTATGTAGACCAGGCTAGTCTGGCCTCCTGTTCCTTACACCCTCACCTCTAGAGATGGGACCTCAAGCCTCTACCCATAGCATGTGTTTGCCTTTTGCTCTGTCCCTCTCTTTGGCAGGGTTGTGTCTCTGCACAGTCCACCAAGTCTGGTCTGCACCGTGTCTGTATCTTACCTGAGATCTCCGGCCGCTTACGTTCATGTCTACACAGGGCGTCGGTCCTCACTGTCAGAGGAGCTGTAGCAGCACACTGGGGCTGGGTCCCTCCTTGTTATCCTTAGAGAGGTCCCTGCTGCCTGAGCTACATCTTCTAGACATGGCTCTTTCTACACATCTATACCACATGTGCCCAAGGGCAGACACTAATTCTCACAGTCTTGCTGCGTTTGTGATGCTGTTTCCCTAAATATGCACGATGATTGTGTAGGTTCTTACTTTTAATTGATTTAGAGTGTAAGAGAGCCATCTTGAATGCTTTCGAAGAGCTGTAGTTGAAGACTATGTTTTAATTTTCAGGCCTTGCTCTAGGGCTACCTCATAACAATGGCATGACAATCACCATATAACTGAGTCTTGTAAAACTACTTTCTCAGTGCTTGCCATGCAGAGACAGGCAGAGGCTGAGAGACTGGCAGCCATGGCGCTCGAGTGCCCACATTCCTAAGCTACTTCTGCAAACATATGGAGCTTCCCCTCCTTCTCCGTTCTTTCTTTTTTAAGTTCTAGGATAGTTTTATTAGAGTTTAAAAGAAAATCATACCAAGGCAGGTAAGCTGTAAATCTTGGTGATTATCCAGAGGAGAATAGAAGAGAAAAGGGGGGGCGTGGGGGAAGCCACATTGCTTGAGTTGAGCCATCATGGAGGCCAGCTGTTTGGCAGCGAACAGCCATGTGATGGGTGTGATGTTAGAGGGTTAGACAGCCCAGCGTACTAGGGTGAGCATGCCTATAAAGGAGAAGACAAGGGATACAGACAGAGCTACAGTCTGTGGCTCTGTAAGAGACTGTGCTGCAGACGGGAATTCTGGGAACACAAAGTGCACCATCTCAAAGGGATGCTTGTACTACCCATCTCTTTATTGTGGCTTACAATGAGCCTGCCTTTCTAGGAGTTTCCCTCCCTCCCTGAGGGGCAGTCCCTTGGCCAGGTCATGGGCCTAAACAACTGGATTATCCCTTAAGGGAGGAGACAATGATACATTCTGCCGAGACCTACCGTCTTCTTAAGGGATAGCTCCTTATTGTGAAGCACTGAGGTCTACTATGATGGGCATGGTACTACCCACCTCAGCCCTTTCCACAGCTCAATGTGCAGGGCATCTCATTTTGCCCACACTCTCATAAGTCACTAATACTTAGCTCTGTATAATTTTTGTAGCCAAATTCCATCTAGTATGTAATTTTAAGGTCATTGCTAAAAATAATGTCACACAGTTAACAGTTTCCTTTCTGACTCTAGAAGGGAGATAGAAATTCTATTGATCTATTATGCCAAGTAAACAATAATGGAGAGGTCAGTGTCTGTGAAATTGGGCCACATGTGGTTATGTCCTTTTATAGTAAAGTTTTGTATGTACTGGGGAACAAAATTCACTGGTAACTCTCTCTAGTAAATTTCTAGTATGTTGGCTTACTGTCTGCCCTCTTTTGATAAGGAAAGGATTGGGATGTTGGCACCATCTCATGCCAGCTCTCCTTGATTATCATAGCCATGGAGTCAGACATGTCCTGTGGGAAGACACACACAGTGGAGAGCAAACGGGGGTGTGCCCTGTCAGCCCCTCTCTTCCCAGTGGCCTCTACTACAACTTTGAACCTTGTGACTCTTTAGCCACTTGCCACATCATGACTCCCTGTTCTTGCCTGGAAAGTCCCTGGTCTCTTTGTTCTTTGTCTCTCAGATGTGGGAGTCTGGAAATTGCAGCTGGGAGTATGTTTATTTGGTTTTTAATTATATACTGGGTTTGTTTCATAATAAATATACTGACCACACTTTTTCTCTGTGTGCAATAGAATATATTGTATCAATGTTGTTTGCACTGCTTCTGCCTGGCTTCAGAATCAAATATTCCAGACAGGAAGCACCATCTCTTTGTCTAAACTCAAAGGAATGATGATAAAGTTGTACCTGGCACCAGCATCCCTCTAGACAACTGAGGTCTTAGACAGTCCCTTCCTCTACTTGCTTGACCTCTGACATGTGTGCATGTGAATCCCCTTAAATAATCTGTGGTTCTCAGTTCCTTGCATAAAATGCAGCAGTAATCATGATCAAACACAACTCCTGAAGTATTAGAACAAGCAAAATAATTGCTTATGAGTTTTCTAATTCCCTTTCTACAGTTCCTCTACACACAAGCTGAAAGTCATCTTCTTCCACAGAACCACCTGCTACTGATTTTAGAAGAGAAATGTAAGTGTATCTTTAGGTAAGGTACAAGGGTGTATGCGCACAGTCTCCTAGTAAAGTGTGAAGCCCGATTGAATCTGCTGGATATCTTTACCATTGCCCAGGCTCTGCTTACCTTTGATGTCCGTCTGAGACCTCAAATCCCTGTGAAAGCTGTCTCCCCCCTCAACTCCTTCCTCAGTCTCTACTCAGTTTCCTTGTCTTGGGAAAGGAATACCTCATGTATATATCAATGTTCAAATTGTCAACTTGCTGAACAGTTTACTGGCCTGTCTGTCTGTTTCCTTTACGATGTCTATTAGGGTAGATGACTGTGATCCAAGTGTGAGAGGCTTGGATGGAGAAAAGAAAGGGAAGGCAAGGGTGCTAGAAGAATTCCAGGACAGATCTAAAGGCCTGCAGTAGCATGACCAAATTTAAGTATAAGTGACACAAGAGGTTATGACCTTTGAAGGTGTTTTCAGATTTGGGAAGGGGAACAGACAAAATCTACTAGTACTTACCAACAAGCAGGCTTTCACATAATGAGGTGAAACTATGGGCTGATTATGTTTGAAAGGACAGATTATATTTGTGTCTTGTAATTAGCACTAGCAGGATATAAGTGTGACTAAACCTAAATTGTTAGTTAATACAAATCGGATTAAAGTGTTATAGATGTTATTCATGTGGTGTTGCTCCTAAAATACCTTGTGTGTGTGTGGTGTGTGTGTGTGTGTCTTACCTCTAGTAATACATATATGTATATATGTATTGGGAAATTAGAGAGGCCACCCCTGGTAACGAGGCTCTTATGGTCTTATCTAGGACAATGATACACGTGTGGAGGGAAGCCTGGCCAGACCTCTCATAGATTATAACACCACAAAGAAAAGTAAATGTGAATGTTGAGGTTGTCAGCGGGGAGGACAATGGTGGTTTTGAAGTGTCATGTGACAGTCCTGTGTTGTAGTGGGGTACTGTTCTAGGCAGTTATTATATAAAAATGTATCCACAGCCATTAGAAGGACAGGACTAACGTTTTTTCCTGGGTGTTAAAGTATCTTTTCTTTTTTTTTGGTTTATTTTTTAAAGATATTGAGCAGTTTCATATCCAGATCACCAGAGAAGATGGAGACAGTGGTAAAGATTTGAAATGCTTCTTGCTTCAAACTCTCTTCTAGGGATTATGCCTCTGGCTTCTACAGACAGATGAACTCTATTGATACAACACATTTTCTTTGATGTGTTTTGAATAATAAATAACCTCACTCTTTTGACATGTGAACAAAAACAAAGATGCATGGAGGAATTAGCCGCCCCCTTGCTACCTTACACCCAGTGCCCTGAGTGCAGTACTCTCAGGGCTTTCTCCACCGTCTTGCTTGCTTGCACAAACCTGTCTAGTGTTAGATACACACATGGAGGGATCAGTTGTTTTTACCAAATAGAATCATAATCTGTGCCTTTGTGGTTTTGTTTGTTTGTTTGTTTGTTTGTTTTTCGAGACAAGGTTTCTCTGTGTAGCCCTGGCTGTCCTAGAACTTACTCTGTAGACCAGGCTGGCCTCGATCTCAGAAATCAGCCTGCCTCTGCCTCCCAAGTGCTGGGATTAAAGGCGTGCGCCACCACCACTGCCCGGCTTCCTTTGTGGTTCTTATTTTACATACTGCATCAAGAGGATATAGGTTAGAAACCAGGAAAAGAGCTAATTGTGTCTCTGACTTTTATGTATACACATATGTAGTACATAGGACCTGACGTCTATGGTCCCCATTCCCCTTTTGTCTGCAAGTCCCCTTTCATTTGTCTCCAAGTTTCCTTAGTTAGGCTGACTTCACATCTATCTTCATTTTTGACAACTCTGGCTTGATTCATGATTAACTCAAGTACGTAATTACTGAGAAGCCAGCTAGGATAGCTTCCATTCATTTGCTGAGGAAGGGTATGGCAGTTCCTGGCATGGTGTCTGTGGTGTTTCAGCCATTCCACTGTGCGCGGACCTCCATTCACATACCTGCTTTTTGTTTTTGTAGTACAAATCATCTTGGACGTATCTTGCTTCCACCTTCTCTGTTTACTGGCTATTTAAATTTGCTATTTGGAAAATTTATTCATTATATCTTTGTCTGTTTTTCTACTTGGTTACCCTTTCTTGACAATTTTTATGAGTTCTGAATATAGTCTAGATATAAAGATGATTTTATTCAAAGTGTAGTCTATATAAGTTAACCTTTAAGTTTTTACACTTATTTATTGTTGTGGTTTGTAGTGTGTGCATGTGCATGTGTGCTTGTGTGTGTGTGCACGTGTGTATGTGTGTATGGCTAGGTTGATGGGAATATGCATTTAATAAGTGTCAGAAGGGTTTGCTACTTTCCAAAAACCTAGTTTTATAAGTAGAGGATTATAGTATGAGGTAGACTTACCTTTAACATTTTCCATAGTAAACTCATAGCTTATTGTTACCTTTGTCTGTATTTCTTTTACTGTTTATTGAGTTTGAGTTTGAGTTTGAGTTTGAGTTTGAGTTTGAGGAGGGGAGAGGAGAGGAGAGGAGAGGAGAGGAGAGGAGAGGAGAGGAGAGG